CCCCAAAACCCCAAAACCCCAAAACCCCAAAACCCCAAAACCCCAGACAGCTAATAGAATATAGAATGTATACCTCGTTTTCAAAATGTCTACACAAACACTATCTTTTATGATAAGAACTTTCAATTCGTGAGTTTAGGTCATGCATGTGACAAGTATCAAAATGAAGCAGATAAAATAATTAGGTGTTTACAAAAATTTTGACAATTTTCTAATTATAAGCCTTGAGAAAAATCAGTATATGTCTGATAAAAATTGGGGTGGGTCAAACACATATTGTTCTGGAACGAATTTTAAGAATTTTTATGCCCATAAGAGGTGAAAGACGCCCTTTTACACAGCCTAAAGCCTCTCTAAAACTACCCTAGACTCTAAACATGCTTCTTCATAGGTATAGACACAATAAATATAAGGTTTGGGAATTTTATTTAAGATCGATTGAAGGTAGCAGAAGGTCTTCGTGTTTCTTCTGCTTATCAAATTTAGGCTCCCTTAAGTAAATGGAGCTCTCATCATACCTGGATCTGTAGAATGATACAGACTTCTTCTGTTTGAACTGGCTAAGGGGATACGAGCTTCTTGAAGGACTTGATTTAAAATCCTTTTTGAACTGAGATCCTTCATATTGACAGTGGTCAACTATTTGTCTGATTTCCTCCCATCTAGAATCCAGAGATCTTGAATTAAGGAGTACAACAATGTATGACTTGTTTTTCTTGCTTAAAAGAGCTGCAAGTCAAGGCCCAGCAGCAGTGGTGATCCCTGTTTTGATTCCTCAGTATCCTTTCGAGAGTAACTTATTCGTATTAGTCCATCTGTAGTTCGCACACTTGTTCTTTGGATGCTTGATTTTTCTGATAGCACGCTTCTTCTTGCTGTTACATTGATAAATCTTGCACTTAGTTATGGTATTGAAATCTTCGATTTTAGTAGCCTCCATGCATAATTTGGCAATATCATAAGCAGTTGACTTATTGTATTTGTTAGGCAAGCCATGAGGAGAGTCAAAGTTTGTATCCATCATTCTGAGCTTCCTTGCGTTTCTATTCATCTCCTGGATAAATTTGTGTACCCTAGGGTTTCCCTTAAAGTAAGAAACAGGAGTACTGGGCTCTGTTGGAGAATTATCTCCATCTTTACTTTCTTCACTGAATGACGAACTACTTTTATGAAAAACAGTCTGGTTACAGTTTGAACTTTGCTCAGTAATGTTGTAAAACATAGTTGACTTCTTGGGTATGGATTTCTTTTGTAACATTCCTCCGAAGTGTTCTGCAAGAGCATAGGCAGCATCATTACCGCTTGGTAACATCAAGCCATGTAGGAGGTCCCAAACACTTAGTACCTCATTAGTTTTGAGAAGAGCCGAAGTGCCACCTATCATTGAAGCTGTACCTGAAATAGTGACTAATTCCTCAGTTTTGTTAATGTTATACTTCTCAACAAGCTTCAGTATAGTATATCAGGTCATAATCTTAGTCAGGGATGCAATCTCTCTTTGTTCGTGACAATTGTTGCTCAGGTTGAAATAATTTCTCTCTTCAAATATAAAATCTTCATTTTTGTTGTGACTCTTAAAATGCTCTTCGGACGTATCCAGGGAAGTGTTGTCTTCAGTTGAAATCTTGAATTTGGATCGGAGATTAGGGGTATTAAACGGCTTTTCTAGTAGCGACTTCTTGTTATCAACCGCTACAGCAATCCAGGATGTCGCACTGACAACCAGAGGCGGCATTTTGTAGATAGATTTCGTCTTTCCACTGATCCAGTTGTTTGTCTCCACCTATATAGTAAATGCTATTAAAAAGTCCTTTGTGGGTGAATGAATTTACTAGTATCTTTTCTCAAAAGGCAGACTGTAGTCTCTTAAGAGGGAGTTTTTGTGATAAAATGATCTAAACCTGAGATTGGCGTGTTGCCATTCCCCTTCTACATGGAAGTAACACAAAGCGTTTGTGACGGAACTGAGAAGATAGGATATCTGAGCTGGTCTTACCATTTGAGGGAAGCTCTTGTCATTTCTGTGGTCTTTTGGATAACATGATCTTTCAGGATCTCTTAGAGAACCGAGCAACAACTTTTTCCTACTGAACAACCTATTGTTCTTCCGTCTGTACTGAGATTTGGAGGCTTTAGAGTTTTTCACCTGCTTCATATTTATTAGAATACTTCAGTTTGAAAAATTTACTTTGGGGTTTTGGGGTTTTGGGGTTTTGGGGTTTTGGGG